AACAATTTTGTTTCTTTTTTTAATATTTGTTTTTTTTTTTTTTTTTGCTAATTAGTAAAGAAAATTACCAAAACGCTTAAACGAAACATAGAAAAAATCAATTGGAAACCAAAAAAAAAAAAAAAAAATAAAAAATATGTTTTTAGTAGCGCAATTTTATAAATTTTTGTTTTCTTTTCGCATTGCATTAAATTTTTCTTTGCTGTTGTTGTTGTTAAGCTCAAGTTACAGAAAACAAACTTAAAACGAAAAGTTAAAAAGACAACAAAGAACAAATAAATGAAAAGAAAAACGAGTTTTGTTTTGTTAGGAAGGGTGGAAAAGTGTCTGGACGGGCTGTGCTCGGGAAACCAATCTCTAATACAGATTCGTGCAAGGCTAGATAATTGCATTTAAAAATTAACAAAAAGTAGTTTTGGTTAAAGAAAATTTCGAACACGTTAATTGGATGCAGCAAAATCGCTATAAGCCAAACAAATTAACTGCGCAGCCAGTGCATGCTTGTATGTCTGTGTGTGTGTGTGTGTGTGCAGGTGTGTGTGTGAGGCTGGTGTTTGTTGTGGGCGTGGTCTTGACCATAGAAACTTGCTAATTGCATGCCAAGTTTTTGCCCTGCGAGTGCAACAACAAACGTGCAATGCGCTAAGCGAACCGAACAGGACATCACTTTGAAGGACTTTAACTTCGACTTGGAGCAGGACCTAGCTGCACAGTTCACGTGGAGCCTTTGAGCATTATGTGCCCTATAATTGGCGCCGATAACAATTTGAATTTCACAACTAATTGGTTATTTTTGATTCTGTATGGCAGGCATGCTAAGCAGCTTGCGGCCTCAATCAGTGCATTTCTATGGCAACGCATGTTGGCTCTTCCTTTTTTTTTTTTTTTACACATTCAAACAACACACACGCACACACACACGCACACACACGCACACGTTAAGGATAAAAGCGGCTGCTCGTTATGGCACAAGGCTGCAAAGCACTTAAGCCCCGAGACAGGGGCAGGGACAGGGGCAGGGACAGGGACTGCAGCGACTTAAGTTAATTAGCGCCATATTTAATTATGGCTAATTAGTTGCAGTGCAGCGCTTTACTTTAGTAACTCTTTAGTTTCTATCGCTAAAATCCCAATTTCCAAAGAATGTGTGCTCTTTTCAAGTTTCTTTTATATTTTCAATTGGAAGAACTCAAATCGAATATTTTTGTGCTTTGTTTTGCCTTTTTCGAGCAAGTTTTGTCAATTTTAGTAAAAGGTTTCTAAAATTTAAGAATCAGTCGAGATCTAAACCAGCTGCAGCTGAGTTCAACATGGTTTGTTGCTTCTTTTCCGGCACCTCCCCTCCCCACTGCTCCCCCCTGCTCCACCTAACTGTGGCCCGCAAAATGTTTGGCTAACACCTAGTGACAAGTTCGCACTTCACTTCTTTTGCATGGTTACAGGGTATTTATTTATTTTATTCTTGAAATTTTGGAGTCAGTTATTTATTTAATACCATTCCGTTTTCATGGCATGCTCCGCTTCAGTGGCACACAACATTATTTTTGGCAAACTTTCAACTTTTTGTTTTATAATATATTATAAACACTGTACAACACTGTCTGGCCGGAATGTGTGGGCTAGTTGTTCGGTTGTCGCACCTTTTCTTCTTTTCCTGGGTCTCCTTGGCGCGATACTGAATTATGAACTGGATTAGCTCAACGGTAATGACACTTTGACGGCTGCTTTCACGCCTCAGTCGACTCATCGCGACGATCACGAAGCTTGAGCTTCTGATTCTACTCGCCACGGGCACTGCTCGCTCTGCTGCTCCTGCTGTTTTTCCTTTGGCTGTTGTTGTAGTTGTTGTTGCTTTTGTTGGTGGCGTAGACATGGAGCGGCGTCGACTAAATTGACTTTGCGTCAATGTCAGCTATTTTCTGCTCAAGCTACGCTCGCAATGTCCATACGCATTCGCTCACTCGACATAAACCGTAATTTATCACTGTAGAGCAGCGAGTGGAAAGAAGAACGAGAACGAGCACGAGCACGAGAACGAGTGTAACCAGTGTTGGGTCACAACAGCTTGCAATTAGCGCCAAATGCGCTTTTAATGATGACAACACAGGCGACAGGAAGAACACGTGTGCAAATATTTGTGCAGCTTTGCTATTTTTTGTATTTTTTTTTTTTACGTTTTTGTTTTTGGCCTTTTCGCGTTTAATCCTTTCGGCGGCGGCAGCTGCTGCGACGCGCGTAGTTGGTTCGTTGCGAGTTAAATTTAAACTAAATGTTTTGCCAGCTGCGCAAAAGTGCCAGAACATCGCGAAACTGGAGCTGCTTGCGTGCCACAGGGCTCCGGCCCAGGCCAGGAAGCCGCCTACCCGGAGAGCCTGTGCGTGCCGAGCACACTGTAAAACTGTGTGGGGCATATCAATTATGTCAGCAAACAGCAAAATAAATAAAAATAATAAAAACAAAAGAACCTCTCGGGTCGAGCTAAGGAGACCGCAGGCAACTTTGCAACTATTGTGTAGAAGCCGTCTCTCGTCTATTTCTTTTACAACTTATTTTTACAAAACAATTACACAAAATGCTAAAAGGCATCAGCGGCAACAACAACATATATATCCTGGCTGGCTGATAAACACGACAACATCACGAGCACAAAGCCTTTCCAGCTAGAAACTTCCTTTCTGAGCCCCCGCCTGGCTTTCGCTTCATTGTGTTTAATGACTTTGCATGCTAGCGCGAATCTCAAGATGGCGGACTCCGCACGAGGAAGACGTAACGGCACTTGACGCCTGCTCGGGCTCGGAGGTCAGCATTCAAGGTAGCTCTGCAAGCGTTATAAACGGTTTTATACCCATTCCAATTACCGCTTTTGTTTATTTCTCCGATTGCATTTCATGTCATAGCCTTACAATTTTGTGGCATTTCATTTCGCCTCAAACTGCGGCGAATTGCATGCGTACCGTTTGTTTCCATCGGTTGGTTATGGGCGAATTTGCATACAGTTAGAAATCACGCTAACCTCTGTTAGACAACGCCTCGAGGCGTGGGCAACAGGTGTCGCATTCTTCGTAAGTATTTGGCCTGCTCGCATCCTTCTGCAAGGTAATCTGAGTAATGATAGCTCCGTTTCACTGGATCACCTAAAACTGCATCATTTTCAACAATATTTTCTTGGAACACTCAGACAGACAGCTCTTTCGTTTGTAAAGCAAACATTTCCAAGACACAACTTTTTTTGCGTAAACTGAATGCCAACAATTTACGGCTTTAAGCCATTTGGGCGCATGCCTAGCCAAGCATTTTGTGGCCCCAAACGCTTGAGCTTGATTTTAAGGCTCATTTGAGGGCAAACCGACAATGCGGCCACCCCAAAAGTATGCCACTTAATAGTTATGCGTGCAATTTCCTGTGCCTAAAGCATTCTGTCGTCGATGCTGTTGTCATCGCCGCCGTGCACGGGAAATTGCTGCCAAATTGGCAGCATTGTTTTTCTGTCAATGATTTTTTTGTATGGCAGCACCGAACAGCGCCCCACCGAGTGAACCATTTGGCGGAGGAGCTGTGCGTAGCCAGAAACACGCACATTGCGTGTGTGGAATCATTAGATTGTAAGTCCTGTTGAAGCTGCGAGAGCGTTGCTTCAGATATTTGGAAACTGTTTGTTGAGTTATTCAAAAGTAAAAGCTTGAAGCTTCTTGGTGTTGCATTTCCACAAGCCACAATTGATCTGGCAACCCTCGCATTAGTACGCCTACGGCCAAGCTGATTAAAGTGCGTCTTCGGCGTTCTGTTGTTCTCCGGCTATTGTATTGCTATTGCCAAAGGACATCAACTGAAAGGACCTTGCAACTGAATGCGCCTATTTCACTGGTGTCCTGTGTGTGCCAAAAATTGGCAGTTAACATCATTTATTATTGATTTTCCTTTTGTATGCCAGAAAGACAGGCCCGCTCCACGCAATGGGACAGCGCAGGGTGTTTGCTTGAGTTGGCATTTTTGTTGCTCCTAGGACTATTGGGTCACTTAGTCGCCTTGCCCCGTCTACTGGACTAATGCTTCACGCGAAAGATGATTGATGATTGCGACCCGCTGTCCATATAAATGCTACTCTCTACACACAATTTGCTAACGGTAACGATTGTATACAACGTTTTGGCCACATTTAGCGACCTTCAAATTGTGTTGTCCCTACCCAGTTTGACCTAAATTTGGTTTGAACTTGTTTTTATGATGGTCTGGACTTCACACTCTCTGGCTTATTGGAATTTTTGCGCGCTTTAATTGCCTGCAATTCGAGCTGCAGGTGGAATGCTACAATGAATCATTGATTGGCATATTTAATGAGTGCGTGTGTGTGTGTGTTGAATACTTGTTAAATCAAACGTAATTTGAATTTATGAGCTTGTGCAATTACTTTTTTGGTATTGGTCGCTGCAGCATGACGGCTAAAAATTTGCTTTTAATTATGATTTATTGGGAATGCGCGTATTTTTCACTTTATACATTTTTCACGCGCGTCTGCGAGTGCGTGAACCCAAAAACTGAAAACACATTAAAATGATTTCCACCTTATCGGCATGAATGAAGCCGCAAAAATGGCATTTAATTTGTGAATTTTGTACAATTGATATCGACGGCAACAATAAGAGGCCTCGGCCGCATACACACGCATACATATAGACATATTGGGGCATAATTTTATATCTATGTCAGATTTTACAAAAAAAAAAAAAAAAAAATTGTGATTTCTTTTTAGTGAATTTTATTATATTTTTTATCATAATTAAACAATGCGAATAGTTGCGTCAGCAAGCTCTTTGATAAGCCAATTGGGTAGGTGGAACACTTTTTTGGGACACAACTGTAGATGGGTGGCAGCACTCTTTTACAAAGAACAGTGCAATTTACAACAAATAAATACATATCACAGGATAATTAGCTATCATTTAGTTATTTAAAAGCCCAATATTGTTTCATTAGGCCTTATACTTTTGAACTCTCACAATGGACACTACAAGCAAATGTACCAAACTTTAAGACAAAGTGTAACTATTTTAATATTACAAGATATCGTAAACTCATTGTTATTCGGAAAAGGACACTCAAGGGTTTAAGTATATGCTCAAAGTGCTGAGATGTACCATTGATTTTACACATAAAGCACCAATTTTGGTACATTTGCAGCACGTGGCAGCCATGCTGACAATTTGTCCCTCTATTGTCATATTTTGCAAATGGTTATGTATTATGTTTCGCTTTTAACAGCTAACGGAGCATTAGGCCTACACCCACCGCCAGCGGCTTAAGGGAATGCCGTTAAACGAAAACTTTTGAGCCCGGTGGCAACGTCGGCGCTTCGACCGCGCCGACAAATGACATGCTAAACTAATTTTTGGTGTCATCCGCACATGTTAAACTCGGAATGCCAGTGACAGAAGACGCCCCACAAGTGACTTATCCTGCGGCGCAAGCTTGATTAATTTTTGGCTGACAAGTGCTTAGTAATAATAGAGTGCGAGAGAGTTGAAAGACACAAATCATTGCGGAATGACTGTTGCGGTGCGGCTAATTGTACGGTTTTTTTTTTGTGAGTGCAGCAACAAAATAACACAGACCACGCTAAAAGTAGATTGAGTGAAAGAGAGAGAGAGAGAGAGAGGACAAACCGCAAGCGTATGATTCGTTTACTGTTGCTGCTATCGTTGATGCTGATTATGCTATGTCGGGCATAGCGGAGCACATGCGTGGAGCTGCTGCGACAAACGGTATCGGTGGAGGACGGTAAAGACGAAGTGGATGAGTTGCATCTAAATGAGAACAACAATAACAACAACGACAAACAATCAACAATGAAATCAACTGTAAACGTTACGAGACAAATGACAAATGGCAACGTCGCACCGCCAGACGATCTGTGGCAAGGGATAAGCCCTCTCCGGCAACCAATTAAACAGAATAGTGGCAAATGTCTGGGATTAGTCGGGCAATGAGCGCCGCTCGCCCGATCCCAACCAGGCGCGCTGACTTCGCGTGTCAAGGCTAAAACTCAATTGACAACGGAATACCCATGGCAGCCAAATGTGCCGCCAATTACTCACATCCAAATGCCGAGCACGGGCTGGACAGTGGCTGCCGCTTGGCAGGATGTCTCCACTGTGCAGGCAACGAACGCTGAACAAAGGGGATGCAAAAAGACAATAAGTAAATAAAGATTTGTCTCGCCGACGCGTTTTATACTCTTGCAGCAGCTGATCAAATATATAGTTTGGCTTTTTTAGGAATCATTTGCAATCAACGTTCTCTTTGCTGCAAGAGCATAAGGCTTGTTGTGGGACTTGGCTGTGTAATGGGTCCGATGGGAGCTGTTAAGGCTCTTGCCTGGCTGCAGCGAGTCGAGTCCTTGTTGGCAGTTTCAATTTCGTCGTATTTATTTCACTCATCTCCTGCTCCAAGTGCAGCAACGCATATAAATGGCGGTCAATTGCAGCTCGTTTGTCGAGCCACCGTTTGCCCTGCGACCCGATTAGAAAATGGCCAACTGGGGACAAATTCCGAGCGACGCCCCAACACACTAATTATGTTTTGCAGTCAATGGCAAATGGCGTTGGTCCTCGCATGCCCTGCCTCTACGGATATCGGTGTGGATGCAGTTGACTGCGTTTTCAATTACCTGCCTGACTACTTACAAGGGAAAGGTCACGTGTAATGGAGATTTACGTTATGTTCGCGATTGCAATGCTATACTTAAGTGATATCAATGGTAATGTTAGGAACGAGTCGAATGTGGTAGGTGTCTTCGGACGTGGAGTAATTTTGTATAAGAGCTTAAAATAAATAATCTTGAATTTAGAAAACCTAGCATAAGATAATTGGTTTATTTGTGGAAAGGACTAACAAGTAAATACTAGGAACTAGGCACAAATATTAATGTTGTGCCTTGGATTTTGGCCACGTGAGATTTGGTTGTGGTGTGTCTGCAGCTATGAATGCGGTTCTTAAATTGCGGCTGCATGTCGCCGATTCCAGCGCCAGACAGTTGCATCATCGCACACGTAGACCAACACGCTGGCATCCCGCGAAAAGGCAATCTGACGCACGGTGGCGACGCTGCGCAAATTGTGCAGCGTTGTCATGTGTGCGCCTTCGGGATCACTGGGATCCATCTCCCAGACATAGACCTTGCCCTGCTGATTGCCCAAAGCGATGACCTTTTGCCAGGGATTGAAACCGAAACGCACAAACCATATCTCACATTCATCGTATTCGAACTCGGCGATAATGGTGCAGGAGGAATCACTGGGCTTTAGCTGCTCAAAGCTCTGATGCAGTTGGCCCGGCTTCCAGCAGACGATGGCATTCTCGCACGACTTGGATAGCACAAAATTGCCGAACCACTGCACACAGTCCACATAATTGCGATGTATATCACGCGTCGAAAAGTCCGGAAAGTGCTTAGTAATTGTGGGAAAGGGCAGAGTCGATTTCTCTTGACTAAACGTTTGTGACAGCTCAATTTTGTGTTGAAACTCCTGGGTATTAAGGCACCATAGCTTGAGTGAGTGATCCATGCCGCTGCTGACAATGCGATCGCCGCGCATATTGAAATCAATGGAAAGCACCTCATCCCGATGTCCCTCCACACCGCCAAAGATTGCTATGCAGACATGCGTCTGTATGTTCCACAAGCGTATGGCATGATCCTTGCTACCGGAGAGTAGCAGCTGCAGCTTGTGCGGATGAAATTTGAGTTCATTGATCGCCTGGCCATGACCAATATAGTTTCCCACCGCCTCGTTCTGTTCAATGTCAATGACGCGTATGACTCCGCGGTAGCCGGCGGCGGCAAGCAGCGGCGCAGACGTTTTTAAGTCGTATGACCAGGCGCAGGTGTAAAAGACCTCATCGGGCTGGCATTAATGTAAAATTTGGGCATTGGTACAGCACGTCTAGATTCGTTCAAATGACTGCTACTTACATCCGGATCTGCGTAGCAGTGCAGCAGCGTCAGGCCGCCCTTGCGTGGACACTCGTAAACGGTGCAACGATTGCTGCCCGCTGTGGCAAATACCTGCGGTTCATCCTTGCCCAGCAACGTGTTGAACGACACGCCAAATATGTTGGCGCCGTGGTTCTCCTTAACATGTGTGCTTGAAGTAGATGTTGCATCAACTTGAGCCATAATTTCTTTGGATGGCAACTTACTCGTATTTGTAGGCTGCGCCGCTTTTTGGCTTTGATTTGTGGCTGCGCCGGCCGCGTCGTTTGCTGCGAGTGCTGGAGGCCGGCGATTTGCTACGTGATGTGGTGCTATTTGTTGTAAAGCTAGCCGATTCGTCCTGCATGTGTTGCGGTGTGCGGAAATTTGTTGCTATTAATTCTGCTGCGATTTGCATTTTCAACTTACGCCGCACGAATCGTCCGAGTCATCTGGCTCGTTGTCGTTTTTCACTTTTTCGCTGCTCATGACACTTTAACACACGCTCGGTACACACAGCCAAATGACAATAAACAATTAAGCTTGTTTTTGTAAGCAATTTGAGCAACAACACAAGTATTTTTCTACACTTTTGGCGGCAAGATACACGCGCAGCGTTGCCACCACGCGATCGCTATAGCGCTGGTATATTGTATAACATAGCGCTGTTAATCAACATCAACAGCAATATCGATAGTCGCGCTCTAAGTGTCGATAGTATAAACATCGCGTAAAAATTAAAATTGGCTATATTTCGATAGCTTTCTCGATAAGAAACGCGCGAACTTAGTTTACGCATGCGCAAGCCAATTGAACAATTATTAGTTTTATGAAAACATTGAACAAATATGGAGAGGACAATCACATGCCATAATATTAACTGTGAAAAAAACATTTACAAATATGCATGTATCAATTGTATGTATATACTTATTTAAGAGTGAACAAAATGCAACACAAAGGGTCAAGGTATTACAGAGAGCGTAGAAAGGGGGAATAAAATGGATGTACAAAAAGAAGATTCATATTTATTTACAAAGTTAAAGTGATATATGTATATTAGGGGACAGTATCAAGTCAATATATACAGCAGTAGAGAGGAAACGCAGACAGAAGTTGGATATAGTTGAGAAAGACAGACAGAGACAGAGAGTAGACTAATTTTTGTTGTTTGGTTTTGTTGTTGTTGTTGTATCTGTGTTGGTTAACGTAACGTAACAACGTAAAAGGCAACTTAAACGTCAAATATTGTACAATAACTGAAAACGCATACAAAATTACGCTAATCTTATGCAGTATAAACCATTTGCAAGTACGTTTTATTCGTCGACATTGATCTCGCCCAGACTGGTGTGCGCAGGCGTCTTTGTCGCTGAACGGTCGCTTTATTACTGCAACTGCTACTGCTGGAAACACTTTGACCCGCTGCAGCGCCACCTGTTGCATCACTTGGGTCTGTTGTTGTTGTTGTTGTTGTCGTCGTCGTCGTCGTCGTCATCGTTGTCGTCGCCGCTGTTGTTAGATCCGCTGGCGTTTGCTCCTCTTGCACGGATTCGGCAACAGTTTCAAGCGTTTTGGCTACCACCAAGTCCTGCGTCTCAGATGCTGCCGGCGGAGCTGTTGGAACGTCTTTTGTGCGGCTTGCGATACTCGTCTGATTGTCAGAGTCAGTTGCCGACGGCGTTGGCTCCTCCGCCGCCGCTGCATGCAGGCTGCAGCTGCTGTTTTTGTTGTTGTTGTTGAGATTCTTGCAATCGGCATTGCAGCTCTTGCTGGCAGCCTCGCTGTTTGGGGCCGGAGCGTAGTTTGGTCGAGGGGAGGGGTTTGTGGTCAAGTGTTTTTTTGCACAGCAGTTGGCAGTGAGTAAAAGCGAACCGGTACAGACAACAAATTATGGTACGGTTCGTTGTTTGGCATATTCGTGTTCATTTATAAATTATTTATAATTTTTATTTTCATGATTTTATGTGAATTTTCAAAATATGGTTGGCAATAGAAAGAAAAATAAATAGAACATCAGTTGAAAGTTTTTGTTTTATTGTATTTTTTTTGTGGTTTTTTTTTTTTTTTTTGTTTTGTTTTTGCTGGGGTTAAAGTCAATTAAAGCGAGTGGATTAGTTGAGCAAAGCTACGAATAGCACACGACGCACACAAACACTCGTCGACAAGCAAACAGTGTTCGACAATTCGTTGGGGTCAATGCTGGCAAAAAAGAGTGTTGCATATTTTGTCTGTCGGGCGAGTTGAGAGCGAAACTTTGTTTGCCGCCCACACTTGGTTATGTAAATCGAACAATCGTGTCATGATGTTGTGAATAATTTATTGCGATTGCAACCAGACACATTGTATGTATCTGCAGAATGGAGCCCGGAGTCCATAATAAATTTGCACTGCGAGTGGCAGGCGCATTGGGAATTTGGGCTTTTAATTGAAAGTTTGGCCTTCTGTGGTAAATAATAATGCAGTGTGTGCAGCAATATGCTCTTTTCGGGCTTTAAAATAATATGTAAAAAGGTATGGGAAAACTTTTCAAAAAGTTTCATAGCAAGCGTACAGTAACGAGTTATGTTTAGCGAGTAACGAGTAAAGAGATGTAAAGGCAGATGATTCGAAGACAGATGTCATCTGGCGAACACGAGAGGACCAACTCTTCAAAGAGAGACTAGGTAGAGACATCAATAAAAAATACACCGAGAGTTAACTATGTTCAATTTGAAAGAGAGACAGAAGAGAGTTAGAGAGAGAGAGAGAGAGAGTGAGACAGTTCTTCAATAATACGGTGCTGATTGCATTTGAATATCACACGATTCGCAAGTTGTATAAAACATATTGTAGTTAATTGGACTAGACTAGCTAAAATACACGCGTTCTCTGTATTAAATGACACTTATTTTGTGTATAGAATGAGGTAGATGAGACCATGATGAAATGGCGATGATAAACTTTGCTGCGATTCTGTAAAACAAGGCAATAATTGTAGAGTATTCAGTTAAACTGACATTAGAACCGAAAATAGCACTACAACGTATGAGAGACAGAAAGTTAAAGAGTTAACAAGAGCGTTAAGGAACAAGATAGAGAGAGAGAGAAAGAGAGTGGAATGATATGAATAGAATAGTAGTAAGTGGTTAGTTGATATGAGCGCGCGTTTGGGTTTAGAGGGGGAAAAGAGAGTTAAAAAATGAACAAAGTTAACGACAAAGCAATTTTGAAGTTTGCTCTATAAAGACTTACTCTTCGCTCTCAACGGATGAAGACGCAATCCGCCCCAATTTACTTTTACCTGATGTGGGGCTTCTGCTCAAACACAAACACATATATAAAAAAGAAAAAAGTATATATATATATATATATATAAACAGTGTGAAAGTTGTTAACGGAAAAACAATATAGAAAAAAAAAACAGAATTTATCGTTAGCTAAGTATGTGATAGATAGTTTGTAATGATAAATGTATATAGTATGTAGATGTATGTAAACAGCTCCGATGGAATACACAATTCATGAAACTGGTTTGAAGCTTGCCTTTGTGTGCAATCCGAATGGAAATTCAATTATCTTAAGGTTCGAGCTATGCAGCACTATGCGAAGAAACCTACTAATACGCTAAAGCCTGAACCAATAGCTTGTACGATCCTCGAAAGCGCCAGCAATTTATTGGCCAGTTCGTGGTTAGATTTTGGTTAGAAAATAGTGCAAACATTTTCAAGTCCTGTATAAAAATAACACACAAACACACACACACACACACACACACACAATACACCTACCTTGACTCGTCTATGAAAACTGCCTCCAGGACACGCGCCGCATAGTGCAGATTCCGTTGCATATCCTCGTAGGCGACAGCCTCATGATCCATGCGTCGCAGCAGACTGCGTATTCTGCA